TGGGGTCCCAGGAAGGGGGGTTACCATATATATATATATATATGTATATACACACACATATATATATATATATATATATATATCCCCAGGCTCCGCAGATCCTCCAAGTGGCGGTCGGTTGCGTGCCCCTTAGATATGGCCCCGTGGCGGAGTGTTCCCCAGACGGACGACCAGTGTCGCACGCCTTTGGCGTGGAACCAGGTCCCGAAGGGTACCCGCACCGAGCAAACGAGGCATTGAAAAGTCACGCCGCGCGCGTTGTGGATTTCCCTGCAACTCGTCGCGTTGGCGAGACGGGAGCTGGATGGTAGCCACCCCGGACAGCACCGCGACGAAGCGTTCTGGCTAACGAAGCAGCAAAGGGGCACAAATTTGTACCGACGGATTGTCTCGGCCCGCCCACTATGATACAAGTATGGGGGATAGAGGCCACACGCGGTCCGCTATAAAACGTGTTCAAAACTACGCTTGAAATCACGCAGCGACGCGAACCCCCTGTCATCGCATCTGCGCCGCGTGCAGAGCAAGAGGGATGCCGAGGAGGAGGGGAAGGGGAGAGGGCGAAAAGACGGGCAAGTCGGCAAGTCAAACTAAAGTAGTGATAAGTTTAAGCAGGGCGAGCACAACAGTGCCTGCCCGAGCCCTGCCGAACAGGGGCGGGAAGGACAAGGTGTGCACGCCTGTGGGCTGGGCGGCCCAAAAAAAAACTACGCTAGAGAAAACGGAGGAGGGATGATATTGGCTACACGGGGGAGGCGAGGAACGCTGGCCGCCCATGGAACACCTCGCCAGGCCCCCGAGGCATGCATAAGGCAGATCAGATGTAGAAGCAGAGGTAGACGCAGTAGTACTGTAGACGCATGACCCCCTGCAAGTGTAGACCAGATGAGGTGGTAATCAAATGGGTGCAGACAATATGAAGATGCATCACATGTATCGCCGGTCACACACACACACACACACACCGCTGAGCCGAGATCCATCCACCCGGCGTTCGTCACAGCCGGCGTCGTTGCTGACGTAGGCGCCGATGTCGGAGTCGGCGTCGGGGCCGGCGACGGTACCTAGAGCCAAACACGTGTTAACAAAGTGGCCCCACCTAGTGACAGAGAGGCCCGATCAAACCGTATGTATGCCTTGGGACGGCCACCGCCTCGGAGTCGGAAATGCGTGGTCGCTGCCCTGCACGGTCGGGTGGGAGCTGGTGCTGGCGTCGTACCACCCAGTGCTGCAACGTCGTGCTGTGATAGCCCGTCGTGCTGCCCAGTGCCGTGCTGCTGGTGCTCGTAGCACTACGCGCTCCTATGCCGCCATCGTGGCGCATGCCGTCCAGCGTCGGAGCTGAGGTCAGAGCCCGAGACGCCGGACTTGTATGTGTATATATATGTGTGTGTGAATCTATACATATATATAACCAAAAAACAAAACAAAACAAAAACGTCCACGAACTATGCTTTACTATTTTTGAATATTCCTCCTGTAGAGGGACATACCCGACGTAAGGCCTTGCCATCGACCCTCGCGGGTCGAGGTCCCAGACTTCCTCGCGATTGTGAAAAAAAACGCGGCTGGAGGTCTTCTTCACTATTTTCGGCCTCTGGAGGCCCTCACCGGCGTCGGGACCTTCAAACAACGACTCGGGATGGAAAAACGGGTCCCGGAGAATGGGCCCGGACCACTGGACTGGGGGTCGCGTCACGAAAAAAGCATGACGTCGGGGGTCTGGGGTGGGGATGTTTTCGCACCCCCGGGGACCTCTGGGGAACCTCCGGGGGTCAGGATCCAGGGCGGCAGCAAAACGTGCTGACGGGAGCGGGCGACACCTTGCGGTTCGCAGCTCCCCTCGCTGCCGAGGGCCTGAGGAATGACCGCCGAGCGAGCGTCCCCCCACCAACGGCAGCTCGCCGGGGCTTTCCTCCTCTCTCTCTCTCGGCCCTCGATCCTCGGTTCCTCCTTCTCCTCCGCGAGCGCGCGCCTCGCGGTGTCCTCGCTCACGCGGGAAGTGGGCGGCACAAGGCAGGGTCGTGCCGTTGCGGCCCCTGCACCGGGTGTTGACACGGCATCGATCGTTCAGCCTTGGACGACTGCGACTTCCTGACAACGCAGATCCTTCGACATCGGCCAACTCCAGGCCACTGGCGGCGCTCAGCCTTGAACGCCCAAATGGGGCATCGGTGGACAGGGCGGGAGGATCGGACCGCATCTCGGCTGCATCGGCGATGAGACCATGTGGGTATAGATTGTCGGCGCGCGCAAGGGTGTAGAGGGAGGGGGGAAGGCTTCTTAGAAGGAGGCTGCTTCTAAAGGCGCCGGCCCCCCATAGACAGACAGGCCCGCGCCTTCTAAGAAGCAAGGGTGCTTCTAAGAAGCCTTCCACCCCCCGCCCCCCTCTGCGCGTGGCCGAATAGGCTGAAGGGAAGGGAAGGAGAAGGGAAGGAGGACGGGAGCAACGGAGGAGGGAAGGAGCGAGGGAGGAGGGATTGAAAAAAGGAGGAAGAAGAGAGAAGGAGAGATGGAGTTCGGCTCGTCTGGGCTCTGGATCACGCCGCATCGACGATGCGTCGGCGATGCGGCGCGGTCCTCTGGTTCCATCTACCACTGGCCCTGTGGAGGCGTCCACTGCCACGCGCTGGACATCGGGGGTTCGGTGGCCGTCGGCCGCTGCCGCGCCGCCCTGCAGGTCGGGTGTTGCTCTAGAAGTGCCCATGGCCCGTGCCCGCAGGATTTCCAAGGAGGCCCCCACGGCCTCCGGAGCACCTCGATCCTCGATCCTGGATTCTCAATCCAGGGTGGGGCAACCCCCGACCCTGAGGGAAGACGGGTTGCGGGCACCTCCTTCTCTCCTCCCCCTGCTTCCCCCTGTTCGTATGTATGCGCACTGCTGGTTGCGCATCGTTTCTGTGCGCTGCTCTCTTCGCTGCTTGCCAGCATCTGTGTTCTCATGGCTGGGTACAACCGTTAGAAGGGAGAGCATGAGGAGAAGAAGGCGGAGGAGGAGGAGGAGGAAAAGGAGCACCCGACGGTGGAGGCAGGAAGCATGGCAGTGGAGGGGAAGGACGAGCACGGGGGATGAAGACGAGGAGGAGCAAGAGGAAACGGGGCGAGGATAAGGAGGAAAAGGAAGAGGAGCACGAGCAAATCACAGTGGCACAAGCAGGACAACCTAGAAGAGAACGAGGGCAAGAAGAAGTGACAACGAGAAGGACAAGAAAGCGAAGAACAGGAAGGAGCGGGCCAGGAAAATGTGACCTAGAAAAGGATAAGACGGAGAAGAAGAGGATCAACAGGGCGAGCGAGAACAAGGACGATAACGAATATATGATCCCGGGTCGAGGGTTCACGGCCCCCCCCCCAAAGATGGGATGGGCCCCGGAGTTCGACAGGCCCCCCCAGATGGAATGGGGGGGACGACGACGACGACGACGCCGACGCCAGCGCCGACCACGACGACGACAACGACAGCGACGACGACGACTAGGCCTACGACGACGTCGACACCGACGCCGACGCCGACGCCGACGCCGACGCCGACGCCGCCGACGCCGACGACGCCGACGCCGACGGACGACGGACGACGGACGACGACGGACGACGGACGACGGACGACGGACGACGGACGACGACGACGAACGACGACGACGACGACGACGACGAGCCACCCCACACCCACAGCCTCCCCGACGCCACGCACGCAGGGTCACGACCACGGGGGGGGGGAAGGATCCCATTCACGAGGCCTTCGCGAGGCTCTTGGGCATACCCATCCAGTGAAGGGGGGGGGGGGGACTCGGTCCAATTTGCCCTAGGGGGGGAGGGGGGGGGCAACCCTGGATCATACACGATCACACGTCGAGGGTTCACAGGCCTCCCCCCGCAGATGGGAAGGGCCCCAGGGCTCTACAGGACCCCCCCCCCATGGGATGGGGGGGGATGACGACGCCAACGCCGCCGACGACGACGACGACGACGACGACGACGACGACGACGACGACGACGCCAACGCCGCCGACGACGACGACGACGACGCCAACGCCGCCGACGACGACGACGACGACGACGCCGTCAATGACGACGACGACGACGCCGACGTCGATGCTAATGCGAACGCTGGAGCGAACGCGGACGGCGACGCCGACACCGAGGCCGACGAAGACGCCGACACCGACGCCGACGCCGCCGACGCCGCCACCGCCGACGCCGACGCCGACGCCGACGCAAACGACGCCGAAAAACGACGACGACGACGACGACGACGACGAAGATAACGACGATGACGACGATGGCGACAACGGACGACGACGGACAACGACGACGACAACGACGACGACGACGACGACAGACGACTACGACATCGACGACGACGACGACGACGACGACCACGACCACGACCACGGCCACGACAACGACCACGACGACCTCGACGACGACAACCAACGGACGACGACGATGACGACGACGACGACGGCGACGACGACGACGCCGACGGCGGCGACGACGACGACAACGACGACGACGACGACGCCGACGACGACGGACGACGACGACGACGACGGCGACCACGACAACGGCGACGACGACGACGACGACAACCAACGGACGACGACGACGACGACGACGACGACGACGACCACGACCACGACCACGACCACGAGCACGACCACGACCACGACCACGACCACGGCCACGACCTCGACGACGACGACGACGACGACGACCACGACGACGACCACGACGACGACGACGACGACGACGACGACGACGACGACGACGAACCACCCCACACCCGTAAGGGGAGAAGGGGGCACCAGTACCCTCCCCCACGCCACGCCCACAAGGCCACGACCACAGGGGCGGGGAGCGATCCACTTCGCGAGGCCCTCGCGAGGTGCACGGGCGTACCCATACAGCGAGGGGAAGGGGCCTCGGTCCCATATGCATTTTGGGAGGCAACCTTGCATCATATAAGAAAAACGAAGGACGCGGAGGAAGCGGCGGCGAGCCCAGGGAGTGCGGCTCGACGTGGTCCACGTACTTGCAAATCTTTTCCACAACCGTCTCGCAGGACGGAAACGTGGGAGGAGGAGAAGGAGGGAGAGAAGAGAGAGGCGGTGGAGGGAAGGAAAGAAAGAGGGAAGGAGGGAGGGATAAGTGGAGGACAAGGAGCGGAGGAGGTAGATTAAGAGAGGGGGAAGGAGGAGGAGGAGGAGGAGGAGGAAGAGGAGGAGGAAGAGGAGGAGGAGGAGGAGGAGGAACAGGAGGAGGAGGAACAGGAGGAGGAAGAACAGGAGGAGGAAGAGGGAGAGGGAAAAAGGGGATTGATGTGAAGGTGGAATCGGCGGAAGGGTGTCGGAGGAGAAAGGAGGTGGATGAGTGAAATGGATGAACGAGAAGGCGAGGAGACAGAGAAGAAGGAGAGAAGCGAGAAGAGGGAAAGGAGGAAGAAAAAGGAGACAAGCGAGGTGCGTTCGCCCCACGTCTGACATATATATGTGTATATATATAAGGTTATGCGAAATCGGAAAGTGGGAGATGCGCACAGAGGAGGAGTAGGAGGAGGAGGAGGAGGAGGAGGAGGAGGAGGAGGAGGAAGAGGAAAAGGAGAAGAAGGTGGCGGGTGAGCGGCGGGCGAAGAAGAGGATGAGCAGGAGGATAAGGAGGAGGGGGAAGAGGGAGAGGAGGGGAGGAGGGGGAGGAGGGAGAGGAGCAATAGGCGGAGGAGGGAGGAGGATGTGGGTAAGGCGCAGGAACAGCGGGCAATCAAGGGCAGGAGAAGAAGGGGGAGAGCGATCATCCAGGGCGGAAGAATCAGAGAAGAAGAGAGGAGGGGGACCCTCCCCCCACACGTACGCAAAGAAAGCATCGCGCCGGCTCGCGCCTGCCGCATCGAGCCCGCGCGCGCCCCGCGCAACCGCGCCCCCTCCAGGGCCCGCAGTCTGAAGTGGCGATGGTAAGTCACATAGCATCCGATTCCATGGGAAGCGGATGGCAGATAGCGTCCAATGCCATGCTGGGGTAGTTCAGTATGGGGAATGGACGGATAAGATAGGATAAGATCGATGTAATGATCTTTCCAGCACATAGCGAACACCAGCAGTGTCCGGGCAAATAGGGCGCGCGCGCCTTGAGCCAAAGGCAACGGCGCGCGAGCTATACTCCCGATCCTACATAACATCTCCCAAAGAGCTACCCTTAAAGTCGGGAAGGGAGGAGGCGGTGAGTATAGCCGCGCAGCCGTTAGGCTCCACAAAGGCCGCGCGCGCGACTGTTTGCAAGAAAAACAGCACGCACAGTCTGGCCTAACACCAGACTGTAAGGCGAGTTTCCTCGCAAAGCATTTTCACGCATACGCAAGATGGCCCTTTGGACATCAAAGGGCTATCGGCCCGGCTAGAGGTAAGCCAAACAGGCTATACCTCTCCGAGCAAAAGGGTATTAAAGCAAAGAGCCCGAATCAATCTGAACAGGCTCGTTGCCAAGCGTGAAAAGTAAGACTCGTTTCCGAGCAACTAGGAGGGCGCCTCTGCATTAGGCGCCCGTGCTGGCAGACTGGACCGCGGGGGCAACGAGGACAGACTAAAACTGATTTGACTTAGGCTTGTTTCTGGCCTCAGGACCCCGAAAAGGAACAAACTGCATCACGTCATACTTAAATGACTGAGTGCCTGACGTCACCTCCAAAAGCAGCTCCCGATCGATACTCCCCTTTGTATGCCCATCTGCGGTCATGTCTCTAGTATCACACCACTGTACGTTGTGCACTATACCTATATCCATGAGCTTACGTATCCAGCTGATATGTCCCAGCAAAGTCCGTTCCGTCGGTATCTTAAGATCTTTGCTGGATAGCGATTTGTATACAGACTCAGCGTCTATAGTAAGGGAGACGTTAATGGCTAGGCCTCCAACTTCACGCATGTCACGTAGTTGTCGTGGAGTAAGTGCCCCTGCCTTGAGCTCGTGGAGAGTGATGAGCGTGGGGTAGCATTCATCAAGGTTGTGTGCAGCTGCAAGTGCTTCAGCGGCATAGCTGGACATCACCTGCAATCGGTGTGATTTGCATAATCCGTCGCAAAGGTGGATGGCGGATTTGCCTTGAGGCGAGTTTCCTCGCCGTAATACGTTGGCCCCACGGATGCCGTAGCCCTTGGTCTCATCGTCTTCCTCCCCGGTGAGCTTCCGATACCCCGAATCACTGTATGTCTACTTCGTTCGTCGGTTTCATCCGAGGGAGGGTGATGCGTTTCGGGCTGCTGATCAGCTTTCGCGTCACAGCATTCAGTCGTCTGACTCGCAGGTCGGTGGGCTCTTGGATCTTCTGGAGAGAGACCACATACACCATAAGCCAGACTTGAATAAGAAGGGCATAGGCGAGAGCTCCTCGCAGGCTAACGAACATGTCGGCGATGAGTTTGGTAGCTTTGGCCTCGGCCGCCGCTCCCGTAAGTTCAGGGTGTGTGATAGGACGTAGTTGTTCAATGTACTCGTCCTGATCCATGATCGCATCCCCTTGTTCATTCCTGGCGTAGCGAACGGCGCAGTTCGTATAAGAATGTTTGTTGAGCTTGCATTTACCTAACACCTTTTCGACACGTTGTACATAGTCATCTACGTTTTTCTCTAGGCCTGTCATGCTGATATCGTCGACATGTTTTGCCGCCAACAAATCTTGACTGAATTCAAACTCAGGATCGTAACTTGTCGGTGTGAGGCCTATAGCTCGTGTGGTCGTACGAAGCTTGAGGGCGAACGCTCTTGGGGCGCCTTTTGCACCCGTCCCTGGCTCGAGGCACCTGAGGCAGTGTCGGCTTTCATCGTAAGAAGAGAAGCCTGGTAATGTACGAAGCACCTGGGCGCTTCCTGGTGGAAGAGCGAAGCAAACCATGCGGGTTTCCTCGCCGGTGGCATGAGCAAGTTCCTCATAGGTCAGACCTTTGAGGAACGCTTTGTCAATATCCATAGATGCTAAGATCCATTATGGATGACATGCCGCCTCACTTGCCAGGAGCCTCTGGGACTGTCTTCGAGCAGTTCCTGAGAAGGTTTCTACATCAAACGCCTCCGTGACCATGAATCCGCGAAGGGCAAGTCTGAGACGGATGGTTTTAACATTCTCGGTGCCTACCTTCACAAACTTCCACTTGCATACAGACCTAGATGTCATGATGTTGGAAGCCTTAGGTAGGTCATACATCTCGAAGCACCGGTTATCAAGCCAGATCGTAAGTTCGGTGTACAAAGCTTCACTCACCTGTTTAGGGTGTGCTGCTATATCGGTTTTGGTGAATAGGTCGTCTTCCTTGACTACCACAGCGCGTTTAGCAGCCGATGGTACATATACTCTCATCGTTGCGACCATGTCAGTCTCAAGCTGTGCAAGTTGGGTCTGAACCAGCACTACCTTTGACGTTTCTGGTGTGGACCATAACTCAACATAAGAACCATGTTCATCACCGTCAAGAGAATAGCCCTCGTCAGGCGTAGTCGAGCATAGAGATAAGACAGGGCTCTCATGGTTCAGGCTCGTCTCCGAGCGTTTCCGACACTATGATATCTTCCTCGTCCACGGATGCTGATACCAGAACACATTGGTCGGGCAGCATAGTTGTGGGGACGCAGTAGAGATGATCGTCGGTAGCCGTTGTGGGATGAAGGTCCATACGTAGTTCATCGTACCACTCCTCCATCATCATAGCCTCGATGTCATGTTCCTCGCTTTCTTCGTAGATTGTAGACAGGCGACCTTCACCTGGTGATGAAGCACCTGGGGTGTCTGGTGGAGGCCTGTCTCCAGGCTGGTCATGTTCTCCAGATGTTGTGCCCAAGTGCTGATACCTGGCAAGGTCGTCATGAAATCCTAGGGAAGGAACATGTGACGTCAGGCACTGGATGAGTCTGGAGTGAGCACTACCAGTGATTTGAGAGAGGTTCAGGCCGGTGCCCACACACTCATAATAGTGGAAGGCTGGGTTGACGTCGTTGTCGTAGTGGATCAGTGAAGACCCGGTGGCGTACTTGACTGCAGGTAGACTAGACACGCTCTTGGCCAGTATCACGGCCACTACACGTTCAACTCGGAAATAATTTCGCACGAGTTACTGTTGTGCAAGATGCACGCGCGGGTGGAACTTGCTGTCGTCCGACAGATTGAGGTTTCCCTTGTAATCTGGAATATAGCCAAAGACTTTGGCAGGTTTCCCTGCACCAAGGTGTGCCACATATGTATGGACGGTTTGCATGGCCATGTTGTCCATGCCAAGTTCCCAGGTAAGGAGGCATTCAATGTATCGCGCGTGGCGAGCATCAGGGCACATTACAATTACCTCACGTGATCCTGCCTTGACGACGACGTGTCCTCGTTCAGGCACGTTACGGGTCACAGGAAACGGGCCATTCCAGCCTCCACGGTCGTCCTTAGTGGCTGTGGGTCGGCGATAGTCGACCAAGTCCCCTGCAGAGTAAAGGCGAGCACCATCTGGGGCCGTCTTAGCCCTGAGAGCACGATTTGTCTTAGCTACCGCCGTGGCTCGAGTTATTGCTTCCAGGCTGACTTCCCTCACACGGCGTTCTCGTTCGTGGCCTGACGTCTCGGGTCCCATAGGGAAGTCAAGGGTGTCGAGGTCAGGAAGAAAGGAGGGCTGTCGCCCAGTGTGTGCTTGGTATGGCGATACTCCGCTGTAAAACGTGAAAGCGTTGGTGACGAAGATGCCTTCAGCCAATACTCTAGTGAATACAACAGAGATGTTGTGTGGATTCAGCTTCTCCTCAATCATATGGCGAGTGCCCCTAAGAATGCCGTTGCGTGACTCGATCGAGGTCGAGCGTTGGCCAGGCGCTCGGATACGAAGTGTCGCACCCTTGTTCGCCATCATGGCCTTGGCAGTGTCATTGTTGAGGGCACCTTCTCCATCTGAATACAAGACTTTGAAGGGTCCATGATAGGCAATCCAGCAGTAGTGGTAGGCGTCGAGTATAGTGTCACGTTCTCTATCAGAAATCCCTTGGCCTGCTGCCAGGCGGATACATCGGTCCATAGTATGAAATATGGTTCGTTTCTT